GCGCGCTGCTATGCGAACCCACCGAACCAAATTCGATTTTAATCTCACGGCCAGCAACACCGCTGACGATTTATCTGAACCGGTCCTGGGCCTCTCCTAGGTCGGCTCAGCCTGAAATGAGTACCTGGTGCCTTATGCAAGCTTCGTCACGAGGGAGACAAAGGCGGCCGGGTGTGGTACTGACCACACCAACCACACGTGCGACGTGCCGGCCTTCATAGGTGCTCGAGAACAGCACTTGCCCCAACAGTCCATTAAAGGCTATACGGGGGAATCTTCGTCTTTATCTTTGAGTAACCGGTCCCTGGGCCTCCCCTTGGTCGATCTACAATGAGTACCTGGTGCGGTGGGCTACAAGAGGTTGCCATTGGGGAGACAAAGGCGGCCGGGCGTGTCTCTATGATTCCTCATGGGATTTCTGTGCATCTCTGTGTATGTATTTCTCTGGGTCTGTACGTGCCTCTGGTGGGTTTACTTAAAGGGTTCAGAGTTCGGGTCGCAGGGCCACGGACGCACTCCTCGTGGCGTGCGTCTTTAATTCTACATTTGCGTTGCGAGATGATTGATGATGATGGTGATGATGGGAGATGATTGATGATGATGATGGTGATGATGGGAGATGATTGATGATGGAGGAAGAGGTGGGAGGGCGGGGCGGAGCGGTAGGGGGAGATGCTTTCATCCAGCAGTGTACAGATCGTGGCTGTTCGCATGAACGCGCACATTGCGTATCGCGACGCGTAGCGGGTGGGTGGTTGTGTGGGAGTGGGGGGGGGGGCGCCGCATCGCGGAGATTCAATCTCGTAATAGTGGTGGTGATGGTTTGTGTGTGTGTGTACGCAAATGAACCCACAGACCAGTGCGTGTGCCATGCGTCATGCGTGTCGGCTGTTGTCGCGTGTCGGGTGGTGGTGCACATTGCTGCGTCCCGCACAAACGCGGTCACCGGCACACGGCAGTGGCGAATGTCCATGCGTCTGCCGACGGCTAGGTCGACTCAGACTCAAATGAGTACGACCTGGCGCGGTTTCGTAAACAGCAGCAGCTTCTGGGGAGACAAAGGCGGCCGCGCGTGATGTTGGCCAACCCACCCGCTCGCGTGCCATGCCGTGCAGGTGCTACTATGCTGGACATCGGTGAAATTGAGCTTCATAGCTCATCGGATTCACGATATATCGATATTGTGATACTGGGGAGGAGCACTTGCCCCAAGTTTGTTAGAGGCTATACGGGGAGTGTGTTGTGGGGGGTGGGGTTCTTTGTCTTTGTGCGCGTGAATTGGAATAAGGCACAGAAGCGTTTGTCAAAAACACGGGGGCGTTCATCGCAATCGCGCGTGTGTCCTGCGGAATTGTTGTGTAAAGCGCGTGATGATTTACATCGCCGCCTATCAGAGCTGGAAATATAAAAACAAAAACATACAAATCGCTTATGTGTGCTGGAAAATGTGAAGTGAAGAGAGCGCGACTGTTATGAACTCACCGGTGCAGCCGGTGGGTGAGTTGGTGGTAGTGATGGTGGTGAGTGAGTTGGTGGTGGTGAGTGAGTTGGTGAGTGAGTTGGCGGTGGTGATGGTGGTGAGTGAGTTGGTGGTGGTGATGGTGAGTGAGTTGGTGGTGGTGATGGTGAGTGAGTTAGTGGTGGTGATGGTGAGTGAGTTGGTGGTGGTGATGGTGAGTTAATTGGTGGTGGTGATGGTGAGTGAGTTAGTGGTGGTGATGGTGGGTGAGTTGGTGGTGATGGTGAGTGAGTTGGTGGTGATGGTGGTGGTGAGTGAGTTGGTGGTGGTGATGGTGGGTGAGTTGGTGGTGGTGATGGTGAGTTAATTGGTGGTGGCGATGGTGGATGAATGGTGCTGAGTGAATTGGTGGTGGTGAGGGTGTTGAGTTGGTGGTGGTGATGGGATGGGTGGTGGGAGGTAGTTGGTGATGGTGGGTGAGTTGGTGGTTGTGGTGATGGGTGGGTGGTGATGAGCGGTGGTGACGGGTAGGATGATGTGTGGGTGGTGTTGGGTAAGTGGGTAGTGGTGACGTGTTGTGAGGGGTGGGGCTGTGGGGGGGTCGTTGGTGGTGGTGTGGGGGCGCTCTGGGGGGGGGGGGGCGGAGGTTGTGGGGGATCAAGGGGGCGGGGCTGTGGGTTCAGTAATGACCAGGCGGCTGCCCCTGGCTACTCCGACTCGCAGTATATTATGGAGAGAGAGAGAGAGGGAGCGAAGTTCTATTGCTCAGAGCCACACGCGTCGCTGCGTTTTGTGATGAAAATTTTAACGGAGCAGTGTTTTTGTTGTTGTTATATTATTATTAATTTATGTTTCAGCATTTTATTATTTGGCGCTCCGTGTTTTATGGACGCACCACGGCACAGATCACCCGCGTGGCCTTTAATGCAATAACCCACGAGCCAAACGTTTGTTTGCGAGCGCCTATTGATGCCTGTTGGGGTCGGGGCGAGGAGTTTGTTTTGGGGGGGGGGGGGGGGGGGGGGGGGGAGGGGTCAGCGATGTGATTTTGAGGTCGGGAGAGTGTTCGCGTGATGGCTTCGTGTCAGCGTTGGGGTTAAGGTTCGGTGTATTGTTCGGGCTCGTGTCAGGGATAGTGCTTGTGGGTTTGTGTTAGAGTTAGCGTTAGGTCGAGTATTAGGGAGAGAGCCCGTGTTAGGGTTAGGGCTAGGGGTTAGGGCTATGGTTTAGGGTCAAGAGGACGGGATAGGGCTCGTGTTAGGGCTATGGGTTAGGGCTATGGGTTAGGGCTCGTGTTAGGGCTATGGGTTAGGGCTAGGGTCAAGAGGACGGGTTAGGGCTCGTGTTAGGGCTATGTGTTAGGGCTATGGGTTAGGGCTCGTGCTAGGGCTATGGGTTAGGGCTAGGGTCAAGAGGACGGGTTAGGGCTCGTGTTAGGGCTATGTGTTAGGGCTATGGGTTAGGGCTCGTGCTAGGGCTATGGGTTAGGGCTAGGGTCAAGAGGACGGGTTAGGGCTCGTGTTAGGGCTATGTGTTAGGGCTATGGGTTAGGGCTATGGGTTAGGACTAGGGTCAAGAGTAAGGGTGAGGGCTCGTGTTAGGGCTATGGGTTAGGGCTAGGGTCAAGAGTAAGGGTGAGGGCTCGTGTTAGGGCTATGGGTTAGGGCTAGGGTTAGAGCTATGGGTTAGGGCTAGGGTCAAGAGGACGGGATAGGGCTAGGGTTAGGGCTATGGGTTAGGGCTAGGGTCAAGAGTAAGGGTGAGGGCTCGTGTTAGGGCTATGGGTTAGGGGTCGCCGCGGTCTTTGTCTCGAGAGGGCACGGTGTGTAGATCCACCTCAATAGCCATGCCCCCTCCCCCTGCCTACCCCTCCACCTCCCCCTGCCCCCCCCCCCCCTAATGAGGCTCGCAAGGAGATCACTAATGGCGCTTTAATTATTCATGAGCCTACACGGACACGGCCTAACTGGTGTTAATGAGCGTGCGTCTGCGTGAGTGTCTGATTGTGCGTCTTTTGTGTCAACGTGTCAGTGCGTGCATCTCTGTCGGTGTGTTGCCTGCAGCCGTGTGTGTCTCAGTCATTTGTGTCCGTGTGTAGTGAGAGCGGTGGCGCAGCGGTTAGCGCACCGCGCTACGGGACCGGGCTTTCCCCGAGTTCGATTTCCGCTCACGGCCGAACAAAAAAAAAAATATTCGGTGGCAAATATCTGAACAGGTCCTAGACCTTCCCTAGGTTGACTCAGCCTTAAATTGGCGCTTGGTGCTGTGCGTGTAAACGTCAGCACTGCGGAGAGACAAAGGCGGCCCTGGCGTGGTGCTGGCCACCCACCCGCCGTGCCGGCCTTCATAGGTGCTGCTCGCTAACAGCACTTGCCCCAACAGTCTGTTACAGGCTATACAGGGGATCTTTGTCTTGTGTGTGAGGGGGAGGGGGGGGACTCAGCGGTTGGCGCGGTGAGCTACAGAACCCAGCGAGCCGAAGTTCGAATCTCGCTCACGGTGAATTTCTCAACCATGGTCCCGGGCCTCCCCCTAGATCTACTCAGCCTCAAATTAGTACCTCGCGCGGTGCTTAAACCTCAGCACTGGGGGAGGGAGAGGGGGCATGGCAGGTTTGGCGTGTTGTGCTTCCCTACGCACCTCCCCAATGATCACGGCTGGCTACGTACGGCGCGAAAGAAGTTCAACTCGCAAGCAGGCACGGCCATGGAAGGATGTGGTGCTTGGCGTGTGTGTTTGTGTTTTATGATCGCACATCCCAGCAATTGGTGAATTCGTTGCAAATCTGCGAAAGGAGGAGGCGAGTGGGAGGGAGCGAGCGAGCGAGAGAGATGGGAGGGAGAGAGTGAGATGGAGGTAAAGGGAGGGGGAGATGAAGAGAGGAGAGGGGAGGGAGGGGAGGGAGGGGAGAGGGAGGGAGGGGAGTGGGAAGGAGGGGAGAGAGGGAGGGAGGGGAGAGGGAGCGAGCGAGAGAGATGGGAGGGAGAGAGTGAGATGGAGGTAAGGGGGGGGGGGAGATGAAGGGATGGAGGGGAGAGGAAGGGAGGGGTGAGGGAGAGATTGCACTACGCACGTAAATGTCATGGTGTGCGCCTGTGAAACTGTCTGAGGGTGTGCTCGTGGGGAGCGTTTGCGTGGCGGTTAGCGCGACGCTGCGCTACGAACCCAGGGACCCAGGTGCGATTCACGCTCACGGCCAACGCCAGCGAGAGCGATGATTCTGAACCGGTCCTGGGCCTCCCCTAGGTCGACTCGGCCTCAAACGGGTACCCCCGGTGGGGTGTGTGAACATCGCCACGAGGGAGACAAAGGCGGCCGGGCGGGCGCGGTGCCGGCCACCCCACGCCTTTTCCGGCCTGCATAGGCGCTCATCGCTAACAGCACTTGCCCCAACAGTCTGTTAAATAGGGGTGGGGGGGGGGGTCTTTGTGTTGTGGTGATGTGCGCGAGTTGCCTTCGGGTTGAGGGCATGCGCGGCGTGGGGGTGCCGACTTGTGTGTGCAGGGGGACTCAAATCCTGACCGTCTTTGTCTCTCCACAGGTCTCCCCGCGCGCTCTGCGGACTTTCCGAGGCAGATGGACAACATCACTGTGCGCCAGGGAGAGAGTGCGCTCCTCAAGTAACTACGCACAGGCAGTCACGCACAGGCAGCCGTGCACAGGCAGTCACGCACAGGCAGCTACGCACACGCAGCCAGACACAAATAGGTGCACACGGGCAGCCACACACAGACAGCAGCCACACACAGGCAGCAGTCACACACAGACAGTCACCCACAGGCAGCCACGCACAGGCAGCTACACACGGACAGCCACACACAGGCAGCCACACACAGACAGCAGTCACACACAGACAGTCACCCACAGGCAGCCACGCACAGGCAGCTACACACGGACAGCCACACACAGGCAGCCACACACAGACAGCAGTCACACACAGACAGTCACCCACAGGCAGCCACGCACAGGCAGCTACACACGGACAGCCACACACAGGCAGCCACACACAGACAGCAGTCACACACAGACAGCAGTCACACACAGACAGTCACCCACAGGCAGCCACGCACAGGCAGCTACACACGGACAGCCACACACAGGCAGCCACACACAGACAGCAGTCACACACAGACAGTCACCCACAGGCAGCCACGCACAGGCAGCTACACACGGACAGCCACACACAGGCAAGTCCGCCATGGCACACACGAATCAAATGTGTCTGTGTCTCTGCGTCTGTTTTTGTCCGCGTGTCACTGCCTCGATGTATCTGCGTGTCCTTTTATTTATTACGTGTGTCTGTGTCGCTGTCCGCCTGTGTCTGTGTGTGTGTCCCTGTGTCTGTGTCGCTGTCCGCCTGTGTGTCTGTGTGTGTGTGTGTGTCCCTGTGTTGCTGTCCGTCTGTGTGTCTGTGTATCCCTTTGTCTGTGTCGCTTTTTGCGTCTGTGTGCGTGTGTGTGTGCGTGCGTGTGCGTGTGCGCGTGTGTGTGTGCGTGTGTGTGCGTGTGTGTGTGCGTGTGTGTGTGTGCTCTTGCGTTCCGTTCCCGCTGATGGCTAAAGTCAGTGACACATTTCTGAACCGGCCCTGGGCCACCCCTAGGTCGACTCGTCATGTAATGAGCACGCGGTGTGCAAACATCGCCACTGGGGAGACAAAGGCGGTCGGGCAGGACATGGTTCCGGCCACCCACTCTCCTCATGTGTGCCGTGCCGACCTTCATAGGTGCTGCCCGATGAACAGCACTTGCCCCAACAGTCTGTTACAGTCTGTTACTGATGGTCTTTGCCCTGTGTGTGTGTGCGTGTGTGTGTGCGTGTGTGTGACAGTGTCACACACACGCGTGTTGGTGTAGCGGTTAGCGCGCTACGCTGCGCTATGAACCCGGCGATCCGGGTTCGATTTCCGCTCACGGCCAACAGCACAGTGACGATTATTTGAACCGGTCCTGGGCCTCCTCTAGGTCGACTCAGCCGCAAATGATTATAAACATCGCCACTGGGGAGACAAAGGCTTTCGGGCGTGGTGCTGGCCACCCACCCCCTCGTGTATCGTTCCGGCCTTCATAGGTGCTCGCTAACAGCACTTGCCCCTACAGTCTGTTAAGGCTACACGGGGGATCTTTGACGGTGTCCGCTTGTCCCGTGTGAGCGCGAGCTACGCATTGATCCTAGCTACCTGCTTAGCCTGAGTTATAAACTCAGCCAACACAGTTAACTCACGACCTTGAACTTGAACTCCATCGGTGCTTGCTACTCACTGAACAGCACTTGCCCCAACAGCATGTTAAGGCTATCCGGTATGGGGGGCGGGGGATCTTGGTCTTTGTATGTGTGTGTGGTGTTTGGGACTGGTAGGCAAATGACGGGCATTGTGATTGCAATTGAACTCGCAGCAGGCGATAGCGACCAATATTATTCACAATAGAGGGATTTTGTGTGTCGTTGTTGTCGTGATATTCGATCGCGTAAATATAAAAGCGTCGTTGAACATTCACAAGTGTCACACGTTGTTCATTTACCCTCCAAACACACCGGCGTGCTGAGCCAGTAAACTAATCGGCACGTGTTTCGTTGACGCTTCGAACCCTTACCCATTGGCTGTGCGGTCGAGTGGTGCCGGGTTTAACGACGTCGTAATATGGGGCCGTCCATAAATGACGTCACGCGATTTTGGACGATTTTTGACCCCCCCCCCCGCCGCCTCGTCACACGGCGTCACAACAAGTCAGACCCCCCTAAAATATGACGTCACAAAGCTCTGCCCCCCCCCAAAAAAAACATATTTCCATTTTGAAAATAAAACATGCTTCAAATCGCTTCCAACTATTGTCATTGTAGTGCGTATTTAATGTGACGCTGCACTCAGATGTTGTAGGAGAAAGCATATTAATTAAGTAGAACGTGTTGTCTATATTTACTTAAAGTTGTGCATTTTGATGTGACGTCACATTTCACAAACCCCGCCCCCCCCCCCTCTCGTCACACATCGTCACAAATGTCTGACCCCCCCCCCACCCCCTGCTAGGTGCGTGACGTCATTTATGGACGGCCCCGATTTACGCGAACTTACTCCCGCCCCACGTTTCCAAATAAAACAATTCCTCGATAATGGATTGCGATTGTAACCAGCGAGAGGACAATCCTAGCGATTCGCCGCTCCCTCAACAGACCGCAAATAGCCCTCGTCCACGGCCAAATGAGATCACCTTGAACATCGGTGTAGTTAATTAATTAACTTAGCGAATCGCGAGCCATCACCAACGTCTCGAGCCCTTCTCTTCAACCACCCCCTCCCCTCCCTCCCCCTCCGTGTCTCTCTCACACACACACAAAGACAAAGATCCACGCGAATAGCCTCGAGAGGCTGTTGGGGCAAGTGCTGTTAGCGAGCAGCACCTATGAAGGCCGGAACGGTACGCGAGGGGGTGGGTGGCCAGCACCACGCCCGGCCGCCTTTGTCTCCCCTAGTGGCGATTTTTTTTTTAACATCGCACTAAGTACTGATTTGAGGCTGAGTCGACCTAGGGGAGGCCAAGGACCGGTTCAAGTAATCGTCACAAGCTGTTGGGAGTGAGCGGGAATCGAACTCGGATTGCCGGGTTCATAGCGCAGCGCAGCGCTAACCACTACTCTACCGCTCCCCACTCACACACGTGCACAAAGATAAAGGTGACCGCGGATAGCCTTCACAGGCCGTTTGGGGCAAGTGCTGTAAGCGAGCAGCAGCACCCATGAACGCCGGCACGCCGCAGGAGCGGGCTGGGTGGCCAGCACCACACGCGGCCCCCTTTGTCTCACAAGTGGCGATATATACACACAACGCATTTGAGGCTGAGTCGTCCTAGGGGAGGGCCCGGCCGACACGATGGGAGGACCGATCGCTCCTTCGGCTGTCGCACCATCGTTTCGTCTTGGCCAGCGGCTAAGTCCATTACCAGTGGGTGTGATGCCTCGAACTGGCGCGTGCGTGTGCGTGTGTGTGGACGTTCTCTGAATCGACGAGTTCCTCTTTCTGGATGTCGCTGTCAATTCCAAGCAGCATTTTTGTTGCAGCTTTGGTTGAAAATGTCATTTTGTCAATGTCCGTGTTTCTCACGAACCCTAAGTCAAAGTTGAATACTTTAACCGCCTCCCCCCACCCCCTTTCGCAAAAGCACAAATGGATAAATAGATGCATACGTTTTTAGAAATGCATTTAAGCAATTGAGGTCACGAAAGGTCAACGCTCACGCGCGTCCAGGCAGTCGACGGATCGACCACTCTAATTGCTTTGACAACAAAGGAACTCGCCTTTATTTTGTGTTTTATTTTTCCCGTTAAGGCCCTACTGAGCTGCAAGAGCTCTCTGTTTTTTTTGCAGAAGCGAAATTGGCTATCCCAAGCGATCGCTGAACGAAGTTGGCGTATTACTGCGTGGGCATTTGCAGCAACCAAATAACTCTAAAGACGCGTGATGTTGATTCTCAATGTGGAGTGGGAGGGGGGGGAAAAAATCGGAAAACCCGGAGAAAAATCCACGCCACCACGGGGAGAAAGAGACACGCGAACTCCAAATATACAGCAGGGGTCACGGTCCGGATCGAACCCACGGCCCTCTTGTATACCATGCGAGGGAGTTGACATCTCGCCAAGGAGATAGAGGCACCGCCAACTCCAAATGTACAGCAGGCGTCAGGGTCGGAATCGAATCCACGACCCTGACGCCTGCTGTATATTTGGAGTGTGCCTGCTTTTTTACGCCACTGATGTTAGCCGTGCCCTGGGATTCGAACTCAGGTGGACCGGGTCCAGAGCACAGGCCGCAATCCACGGCGCCATCGCTCCTTCCCAGTAACCACGGAGGTGATGGAGAGCGGCAGAAAGAGATTGGGAGAAACGGAGGGGAAGAGGGAGGTGGGGAGGAGGGAGGTGGGAGGGCGGGGAGGAGGGGGCAGGGAGGGGAGGAGGAAGGGGGGAGGGGAGGAGGGAGGCAGGGACGTAGGGAGGGAGGGAGGAGAGAGGAGACCGAGAGAGGGAGGGAGGGGAGGAGAGAGGAGACCGAGAGAGAGAGGGAGGGAGGAGAGAGGAGACCGAGAGAGAGAGGGAGGGAGGGGAGAGGAGACCGAGAGAGAGAGGGAGGGAGGGGAGGAGAGAGGAGACCGAGAGAGGGAGGGAGGGAGGGGAGGAGAGAGGAGACCGAGAGAGGGAGGGAGGGAGGGGAGGAGAGAGGAGACCGAGAGAGGGAGGGAGGGAGGGGAGGAGAGAGGAGACCGAGAGAGGGAGGGAGGGAGGGGAGGAGAGAGGAGACCGAGAGAGGGAGGGAGGGAGGGGAGAGGAGACCGAGAGAGAGAGGGAGGGAGGGGAGAGGAGACCGAGAGAGAGAGGGAGGGAGGGGAGGAGAGAGGAGACCGAGGGAGGGAGGGAGGGGAGGAGAGAGGAGACCGAGAGAGGGAGGGAGGGAGGGGAGGAGAGAGGAGACCGAGGGAGGGAGGGAGGGGAGGAGAGAGGAGACCGAGGGAGGGAGGGAGGGGAGGAGAGAGGAGACCGAGAGAGGGAGGGAGGGAGGAGAGAGGAGACCGAGAGAGAGAGGGAGGGAGGGGAGAGGAGACCGAGAGAGAGAGGGAGGGAGGGGAGGAGAGAG